ACTAAAGTAAATTTGGTTCATAAACACGTCAAACTATAATAAATTTGGTTTATAAACACGTCAAACTAAAGTAAATTTGGTACATAAACACGTCAAACTATAGTAAAGGAATTGGGTTTTTGCTACAAACTCTGATTTTCTTATCTCTATATCTTTGTAACCCAATGTCGTAGACCTTAGATATTTCAAACTATTAATACTTAAAGATAAAATAAGCTAAGTTTGAAATATCAAAGGTTTGCACCATCAGGTTGCAAAGATATTGGGATCAGAAGATTTGAGTTTGTGGCAAAAACTCAATTCCTTTCACGTAAGAATGAAATATATGTATATGTATATATAAATATATATGTAACCGGATAGATTTGATTTTCCCGTAAAATCAAATCTGGAGGAGCTCCGAGGTCACAAGTTCATCCCAGCGATGTACATTGCACCTAATCCTTCTCTCTGTGTGTGACCCCACATCAAATATTTCTGCAAATATTTCTAAATAATTCTCTCCATAGAAAAATCAGATCGGTGTAAAAGAAGTTCCGATAAATTAATAATACAATTTGAGAACCCTTCTTCGTTTTCGTAAACCCCTCAAGAGTTTACTATTTGATGGTATAGCATAGTTGATAAAAAACTTACCAAGAATGTAATTGAAAATGCGATTTCACCACCAAAGACTTAAAAAGGGATTAATAATTTTAACAATTAATAAAGGATGCTTTCATTTCCCTAAAATAATAGAAATAATAAAAAAAAACAATTTTAATCCCCCCAGGACAATGCAGGGCACCGGGGATACCTAATCTTATTGAAATATGCAGACATAAATATATTTTACAGATGCTATTCCGTTAGAAAAGATTAAACGCGCTGCTAAGCTTAATTGGGTGATATTCTTAGATTTGTGAAATTGAACATAATCTCATAAAATTACAAATCCAAAGGAACTGAGTCTTTTACTACAAACTTAAACTTGCTATATAATCCCTATATCTTTGCAACTTAATGGTGTAAACCTTTGATATTTCAAAACTAAGATTATTTAATCTAACATAATTCATAGTTTGAAATATCTAACTTGTTAAGCTTGCTAATATCTTAAAAAATTGGTGTTGATAATGATCCAAACCTCATAGAATAAATAAAGTAGAATGTTAGTCTCAAATTTTTTGAGAATATATTTCGGTCTGGGTTGACTTACTTTTATGTACACTTTTATGTACGTCTATTGTGTATGGTTTACATATATATTTATTTATTTTATCCATTTTTTTACTAAAATTAAACTTTTCTGGTCTTAATTTCTTTTGCAGTTTATTGTTTAGACAATCCTATTGTTGTCAAAGGCTGTGTTTGTTAACGCTTCAATATTTAATTTTGAAAATATATGTTTTAAAATCTAAAAGACGGGTTTTGAATTGTACATAAATACATTTTTGTGATTTTTGCATGCAATTCTTTTATATTAGGCAATACAAAAAGATATATAAGTAAATCAAATTTGAAATTCTTTAAAAGTTGCGGGATTTACAATCCTTTACAGTTTGTTGAAAAGGTTGAAAAGTCATTTTTGACATTTGAAATCACTATTCATTCTGTTGACATTCTCGCAGTCAATGGGGGCGATGGGAGGGGGGGGGGGGTACTAGAGAATTGCAGTAGATGGAATGATATCTTCAACACGGGCAACGCCGGCCTCTCAGCCAGTAAATGAATAAACACAAACTGTTAAAACAGATCACGGCTAAACTTAAGAAATTATTTAGAGTACTTTAACTTAATTTTAACAATAAGATGACACCAGGCAAAGGTTTGACGGATTTAAAGACCCAATTTATCAAAATCGACTTTTCATCACAAATTTTAAAGTTTCAGCATTTAAATATGATGCGGTTATCATTTAAAATATGTAGTTTTTTCTAAAACTTTGGTTATTACACCACAAAAGTAAATTTAAAAAATATCTAAATTTTAAAAATAAAAGTAAGTTAAGATTTGAAAAATATTTAGCCTTTATGCCTACAGAAAATAGAGATGGTTACAGAAAACAATAGTTGTCTGCTTAATAGCTGCTTTTTAATTACATCTATAAGTAACTATTGAATCCAAGAAAATATTATATTATTATATATTATATATTAATCCTGGTATCATGACTTTTTTAATTAAAACCTATAAAATGTTTCGAGAACCCTGATTTTGAAACAATTTTATTAAATTATCAAATCTGACTATCTGGTGTCATTAACTATATGTTTGACAATATAACCATTAACTCCATCTGTGTTTAAATAAACGAACTATTCCTATCTAAGGAAGTGTATAAATTGATTGCTAGATTTTTAAAAAATTGACAAGTAAATTTTTTATTATTATTTTGATTTAATTTTAGTCATATTTTCAGCATATCATTTTTATTCATTCACTATTCAGGGAATTCAGAGCTGAAAACTTTAGAATGAGATATCCTTAATCCCGATTACTTAATCTGAGTTTTTAAGGACACACTTTTGATTTTCTTTTTAGACCGTTCTTTCTTGGTTATCTAGTAGAGTAAAATCAAAACCCGGTTTTTCTAAATTAAAGAATCCCTCCCGTTTCTGTACATAATCTTAAATCAGGATACAAGTACAAGATTAAGTTAGTCTCGAGATTAAGAAAAAGAGAAGATCAGGCATTAATCTCAATATCGACCATTGTAAAGTTTTCAGTTCAGGTTTATCTGGATTAAATTTTTTTACATTAAATATGCTTAACCACTTATTTTATCATACTTAATTTGTCTCTTTATTCATTTTTCAAACTTGATCTATTTTATTTTCTGCAAGAAAATATTAATATTTTAGTCCAACCTATAAAGCATCTTGAATGCTGCTTGTTCAAATTGTTCAAGCTGACTCCAATTAAACATTATAATAAACTTCTAACATTTGTAATCTGAAATTTTCAGAAACACTCCCCTCGCCTAAATAGTTACACATAGTTACTCATGGGTAGCCTGGTGGTAACATAGGCAAAACAAATACAAAAATTAGTATTTTTCAAAAATCGATTTTTTAAAATTCCACGGGCAACGCCGGGCCCTTCAGCATTACATAGATAGGAAACATAGATATAGGATTTGAGCGAAATATTAGAAAGATTTAGATTTAGAGGATATAAAAAAAGATCAATATTATTTTATATAAACGTAAAGGGAAATGATATTTCAAATTTATCCATTAAATGGACAGCTGTATTTATAGTTAATATGATATAAATATATATATTCATTTAAAGTTTGAAAAATGCAAATCATGCATATATTTATATTTCTAGTGTGATTCTGTTTTCAGACCCTAATTCTTTGAGGTAAGTTAATAGTAGTGGTACCATCTTTACCCCCCTTAATTAAAAGCCCCGTGAGCTGCCTTAACTACTTGATTAGTTGTAAATTCTAAATAACAGAATCTTAATTACATATTCTGTAATTCAAGAACTACATATTAAAGGGACTGAGACATATTTTCAAATGGAATCCACTAAAAAAGAGTGCCATGTTCGATTCACAATTGTGCCATGTAAAACATCAGCAGTGAGAAGAATACCGTTGCTTTCCATCTAAAAAGTGTTGAATTCTGCTAATTTTCTCCATTGTCACTTTTAATGAGAAAAATTGTAGCTCACTTGATTTACGTATACATTCTCTTCAACAAGTTCATTAACTAGGAATGTGCATATTTCTGTTAACTAACACAAAGAAAAAATTCTCAGATCTCAGAAAAGATCTCAGAATTGAAAACGAAGAGTACAACGATGTGGCTATTTCTTAACTCAACTAATCATTAAAGCACGAATTGAAAAAAGGTAATTTCCCAAAGGCATTTTCCCAAGAGCAACTTCCCAAGGGCCGATTTACCAAGTGGCAACTTCTTAAATGTTTAATATCCCAAAGCGTCAATTTCCCAAAAGTTAGCTTACGCTTTTTGAGGCGCCGCAGGCTTAAACGGAGCCGGCTGCTGCGGCTAGGATGACCTAGGGGACTGAGCACTGCGGTTTGGAAAGTTGACGCTTGGTAAACTGCAGATTTTGGGAGATGCCACTTGGGAAATTACCCTTGAGAAGTTGCTGCTTGGAAAAATGCCTTTGCGAAATTACCAAACATCAAAAAAGTTGTAGTTTGCCCAGCATTAAAATCAAATCTAAAAATTAATAAGAAACCTATTCTCTAAAATCATGACATTTTATCCGTGTTTACTTGAGCTGAAAACTAATCAATAAAATAGCTGGTTAAAAAAATATCCTTATTTTAAAACTGCGCTGTTTTAGCCACATTTTTCTCACTTTTTGGCTATTTGAACGCGTTTGTAAAACATTAAAAGTTATCATGTTTTTTTATGACAGAAACAATCAATTTATTGTTATCAACATGTTTGCTCAGAAAGTAATTTATTTATTTCATTTCTGAAAAAAACGGTGCAGGAATTAACATTATTTTTATGATTGGAACAAGAAATAAAAAATTTTCAGGAATTTCTAATATAAGAGTATAAGAGAATCCCGGCATTTTTCGCGGACTTTTAAAAAATCAAACATTCGTACGTTGACTTGCTTAAATAAAAAATAATAGAGATTTTCTTTTTTATCTAAAAATCGATTATTCTGAAATGCAGTTACTCCTAGGAAAATAGCGTGCGCATAAACGAAGAACAAAAATACAGTAATCGACCATTGTAACTTGCATTTTGGCATTTTGTATTTATACTTTTACTTTAAAGAATATTCACAAATATCTAGACAAAATTCACACTTTTAATATGTACATTTATTTAATTATAAATAGTTTATTTAAATAATAACATGTAAAACGGACATATAGACAACTTAAAGGAAGGGTTAGTTTATGTTTTACGTGGATCATTTTTTCTTAGCCCAAAAAAACACAAATAAGTTTTTTAGATAAAATTGCAAACCTCTTTTTAAAACAATGATATCTTATTTTGGTTGGGTTCTAGAATTTTTTGTTTGAAAGCAACAATTTTTTTCTCAAATACATTCAAATTGAGGTAGAGGTCGATTTCACAAATCTTTGGAAATTTACGAGATTTTTTTACATTTCAAGCTTTTTACATAACAGTTTAGGACAACACTGGGTTTAGTTTGGTTCACGATTTGCGTTTCATAAAACGCAAAAATCTAAAATTAGTTTTTTGTCACTGGCTCACATCATGCACATGATTTCTTCAAGGTTTGCTCATCACAGTCATTTTCCTGACTTCTTCAGAATGAATTCTCGCGTTTTTATGGAATCCTACCTTTGTAGATTTTTGATCTTACAAAATCAGGATGAGGACGAATGACGTGAGAACCCCTAGACAGAAAACATTGTTGGACGATGCGGACGATTTTTCAGAGATTGACGGTTCATATTTTGGTTTTTGACTGTCTCGTGGCATTGGTTTGGTGGAGAACTTGAACTGTGTATTGTGATCACTCCACCCGTACATGTTCATAGATTCAATCCTACCAGTGTATTCTGTACCCGGAGTAAGGTTTTCCAGCAGGATCGAACCTTGGAAGGTTTGTGGAGTAGGTTCCGTGGGACTAGAGAAAACTTGAATCCACTTATCTCCGTCCTTTTCCCTGTACTCAACCTTAAACTTGTCGATCTTAGTGTTGGACTGGGTCACCCAGGTCAAGGTGAACCTGTCCGGCTCTGACCCAACCAGCGACGAGGTCATCTGCGCCGGTTTCGCGCGTCCGCTCACCTCAGTCACCTTACTGGCCTCTCCAAGCGCGTTAACAGCCCGGCACATGTACTTCCCATGGGTGTGCTTGTTACCAATACCCGTGATGTAGAGGGTATGCCTGTTCCCCTGTTTGCTGATCACGCTGGTCTCAGGTTCCAGGAGTTGACCGTTCATATACCATTCAACAGTAGCTAGAGGAGCAGCGTGTACTGTGCAGGTCACCTCAACCTCAGCTCCTTCCTTAGTGTGAATAAATGTTTCCTGTTGCTCTATCTCAGGAGCATGCAGAACCTAGAACAGAAATTAATTAAATTGTTTTTTTTTCATAAAATTTATAAATCTAAAAAATTCTAAAAACGTTGTTTTCATTTTTATTTTGTGTTCTTTTTGAAACTTATTTGTTGATGCTTTTTTAAGGCCTTTTCAATAAAAAGTTGTAGATTTGGGTTTTCTACGTTGCAAGTTTTAATTCAAATGTTTTGCATTAAAAGATTTGAATTCAAAGATTTCAGAAAAACTTTGTTGAAACATTGATTTTAAAACAGTGCAAGAAAAAAAATTATTTTATTATACAAAATTAATATTACTATAAAAAGAAATACCTCAAGAAACGTTGTAGAATTTGCAGGTTCCCCCCACCCGTTGTCTCCATGACAAGTGTAGAATCCAGAATCAAGCCTAGAAAAAAATTGAACATAGAGATACAAAAATAATGAATTTATTCAAATATACAGCAAACAGAAAACAATATGATTCATTAATTCTTTTTTATTTTATAATATTTAATGACGCAAACTATTTCAATTTGAAGAATTCAATAGAAAGTAAAAATTAAACGATAGGTACATAAAAGCATGCGACAAAAAGAAAAATCTATAAAAATAAATAAAAAACATAAAATAAAAAAGGAATAAATTAAATTTTAGAGCTTTTTTTGAGAAAATATTTAGTCTATACAGATCTTAAAATATGTTTACGGGTTGTTAAGTTTTAAACTTTTACCTTGAAACTCTATTGAGTTCTAGTTTGTCTCCTGTTAATTTCTCGCCTCCATTTCGAAACTTTTTCATCTAAAACATTTCGTTTTTATTTCGTTTTTATATTTAAGGCATACAACTAAAAGTTGCAGACATATGTATAAAGTTTCAATTTAGAAGTTTTGCATATATGTTTAATCTGTCTACATCTTTAAAGACTGAACTCTGCAGGTCAACACATCAAGATTCTAGATTACAAAGAAATCTAGATTTCGCAGTTTTGCGGATTTTTTTGTTGGCATTTTTGTAAATTTTCTATTTGCAAGATAAAGTTGACAAAATTTTGAAAAATAGGTCAAAATGCACAAGTTGAAGAGATTGTTATGATTTTTACCTGTCTAGTCCAGTACAGTTCAGGGGCTGGGTTGCCCTGTACAGCTGTACAGCTTAGTACTGCAGACTGACCCGCTTTCACCTCTACCTTTGGGGAGGTCACGGATACAACGGGTGCAACTGCAATTAACGTTTTATTTGTTTTGGAATGTAAAAACTGATTACTCTAATAAAAATCTTTATAATGATAATAATAATAATGACAATGATAATGACAATAATAATGATAATAATAATCAAAATAATAATAATGAGTATAATAGCAGTAATTATTATGATGATGTAATAATATCATTGATTTTGATTTGAATTAAGTAATTGTACAGATAATTAATGACTAACTTTGCTATTTCTTATCAACAATTTTATAAAAATCTATTATCATTATACAACGCGGTTATATGGATAAAGAGACATAAGCAGAAACAGACATACAAGTATAAGTAGACACTAGACAAAAATCTGAACATTTGCCACAATATCTTAACCATTCAATCCCTGTATATCTGCAACATAATATTTCAAACTTCTTGTTCTAGTAGATGGACAGTAAGAAATATCAAAGGTTGCACCATCAAGTTGCAAAGATAAAGTAATCAGAAAATTTCCTTTTCAAGAGATAAATAAACAGAGGAAAAAAGGGGAAAGAGATGTTCGATATAAAGAGAAAGACAGATAAAACGAAAGACAGATATGGAAATATGAAAATATGGAAATATGGAAATATGGAAATATGGAAATATGAAAATATGGAAGTATGAAAATATGGAAATATGAAAATATGGAAATATGAAAATAAAAAAGATATTATCGGAAAATGTCACATAAAACTAAATATATATCTTTTTTAAAATATTCGAAACAATTACACATTATATGTAGGAAATAGGCTCGAAAGTGTAGGCAGACTGGCCATCAAACCATGAATCACCAGGACGTCATTTTATGTATTTTTTTACGTTTCCTTCCCCTTTAAACCCCTCCCCCTTTCACTCAGTCATTCCCCCCCCCTCCACTCCGTCATTATTAATTCACTGCACACGTCAACAGTTTAAGTGATGTCACCATATCTCATGAAAATTTGGCCAATTTGCATCAATTTGTTAAATGTTAAATTATGCATTTAAAAAAAGTATTAATATTTCAATATACAAACTTTTATATGTTTTTTTTTCTGGAAATAAACAGTTTTTTTACTGAACAATTGTCCAAAAACGATAAATATTGATCACTTCTTGATAACAAGTGTTTAGTTTTTACAAAGGGTGTCGAAAAATTCCAAGTTAATTGTTTGTTAATATTTTAAAGTTTTTTCTTGAAATTTCTACAAAAAATTTTAAATTTCGATTTTAAATTCAAATTCTTAAATGATTTAATTTTGAGATTACCCTAAATATTGAACATTACAGGAATTATGAAATTTACTCCAAAAACAAACTTGAACATGTTTTCTTCTTGAGGTTGAAAATCAAAAATATTCTTTCGTTTTTTTATTGAATAAAAATGTGATTTATTTAAAGTATTAACAAATTGTTCTGATCTTCAGAAAGTGTAAAGCATGTTAACGGTTTAAATCTTTTTGTAAAATAATGGAAATTGATTAAAAAACAAGT